GGTCAGGGTATGTCATATACAGCCCAGGGTACAGAGTGCAGTGGTCAGGGGTATGTCATATACAGCCCAGGGTACAGAGTGCAGGGTCAGGGGTATGTCATATACAGCCCAGGGTACAGAGTGCAGTGGTCAGGGGTATGTCATATACAGCCCAGGGTACAGAGTGCAGTGGTCAGGGGTATGTCATATACAGCCCAGGGTACAGAGTGCAGTGGTCAGGGGTATGTCATATACAGCCCAGGGTACAGAGTGCAGTGGTCAGGGTATGTGGTCAGCCCAGGGTACAGAGTGTCATGTATACAGCCCAGGGTACAGAGTGCAGTGGTCAGGGGTATGTCATATACAGCCCAGGGTACAGAGTGCAGTGGTCAGGGGTATGTCATATACAGCCCAGGGTACAGAGTGCAGTGGTCAGGGTATGTCATATGGTACAGAGTGCAGTGTATGTCATATACAGCCCAGGGTACAGGTGCAGTGGTCATGTCATATGCCAGGGGGTCAGTGGTCAGGGGCATGTCATATACAGCCCAGGGTACAGAGTGCAGGGGTCAGGAGCATGTCATATACAGCCCAGGGTACAGAGTGCAGTGGTCGGGGTGGGGAGCATGTCATATACAGCCCAGGGTACAGAGTGCAGGGTCAGGGCATGTATGTCATATACAGCCCAGGGTACAGAGTGCAGTGGTCAGGGGTATGTCATATACAGCCCAGGGTACAGAGTGCAGTGGTCAGGGCATGTCATATACAGCCCAGGGTACAGAGTGCAGTGGTCAGGAGCATGTCATATACAGCCCAGGGTACAGAGTGCAGTGGTCAGGAGCATGTCATATACAGCCCAGGGTACAGAGTGCAGTGGTCAGGAGCATGTCATATACAGCCCAGGGTACAGAGTGCAGTGGTCAGGAGCATGTCATATACAGCCCAGGGTACAGAGTGCAGTGGTCAGGAGCATGTCATATACAGCCCAGGGTACAGAGTGCAGTGGTCAGGAGCATGTCATATACAGCCCAGGGTACAGAGTGTAGTGGTCAGGAGAATGTTATATACAGCCTAGCATACACAGTGCAGTGGTCAAGATCCTGTCCTGCCTTGTTTCTAGGATGTTGCTAAGGTACTCCCAGCCAGGGGCAGACTGACAACTCGTGGGCCCCCAGGCAATAGGAGATCATGGGGCCCATGTGTCCTCGCCCAGACTCAAAGCACACCCAAAACAGCTTATGAAAGGTACCAGGGGCATCTCAATTGGCCCCCTACTGACCCCGGGCCCGAGTGTCTGAATGGCTCCCATCTGGTTCTACTCACTCCCCATCACCACAGGAGCAAACTCTCACATGTGAGCGGTCCACTATCTCCTCTGTTGCTGAGCTCAGAGCTACTGCGGCTGGGAAGAGAGTGAGAGCCTACGTGAGGGGGTCTGAGCCGGCTGAGAGCATCCTAGCAACGTCCTAGCAACAAGGCAGGGCAGGATGATGCTATCTGTGGAAGTTTTTCGGGAGGTACGTAAATGGCCTACACCTAGAACAAGGGAATTATCCAACTTTAGTCAAAGCTGAACAGTCAGTTTGTATCTACGGGATGCCCCTTACCTCGCGGTCCTTTTGTTTAAAGTGAACGAACCCTTGAAGGCCCTCAAAAAAGAAAGATGTTGAGTCTAGAAAAGGATTTATAAAGATTAGCAAATGATCCCAGCTTGCCATTGGTCATTGAGGCAAAGACCAGACCTTCTGGGACAACGTTCTGAAGATTGATCAGAGACAGAGCTGGCCGGTCACAGTGGCCGTGGACATGTCTGGTGCAAACCGAAAACAACATTTCAGGAGGAGAACCTGATACCAACTGTGAAGCATGGTGGAGGACTAGTTTTGGTTATAGTGGGGACACTATTTCTGGTGACAACTTTCTTTTGAGGGATCTCCTCTCACTTCTGCTGTAGCTGCTTTGGCTTTGGGACAGAACGTGAAAGGAAGCCCTACCCACCAATGGGACACGACAGGGGTTGTAACTCTCTCTTACTCGAAAAAGTTGCACTTTAAGTCCCTCCCCTCTGTTGTTATAATGAAGCTCTACGCCTGCTCCGATTGGTTAAAGAAGTCAACCATTTTCACGGTGTGTAAACTTGGTGGCCCCAGCAAACTCAACCCAAGAGCTCACCGTTTGATGCTGAAATAAATCTCCAACAACCAAGAAAAACCGAATTGTGGGATCTGCGGGTAGCTCCTGTAACAGTTGGAGGTGCAAACATCTACAGTCGCCACAATTTATTCGGTTTGGGGAATGCAAGACATTCAAGAAAGATTCCAGCTTGCCATTGGTCATTGAGGCAAAAACCTGACCTTCTGGGACAACGTTCTGAAGATCGATCAGAGACAGAGCTGGCCAGTCACAGTGGCCATGGACATGTCTGGTGAAAACCGAAGACAACGTTTCAGGAGGAGAACCCGATACCAACTGTGAAGCATGGTGGAGGACATGTTTTGGTTATAGAGGGGACACTAGTTCTGGTGACAACTGAGTTTTGAGGGATCTCCTCTCACTTCTGTTGTAGCTGTTTTGGCTTTGGGACAGGAGGTGAAAGGAAGACCTCCCCACCAATGGGACATGACAGGGGTTGTAACTCTTTCTTACTCCGAAAAAGTTGCACTTTAAGTCCCTCCCCTCTGTCTGTCTGTGTTGTTAGAATGAAGCTCTACGCCTGTTGCGATTGGTTGAAGAAGTCGACCATTTTCACGGGGTGTACACACTTTTTCACATGATCAGTGCACTTTAAACATGTACCGCACTGTCCGGGGACTTCTGACTTTCCCACATAGCTGTTCAGTAAGGGAGCTGACTGTACTGTACTTCCCTTTCTGTTCTCTCCTCTGACTGCGAGCTCAGCGATGGTAACAGGAAGTGTCGGTAATACGTTTCACAAGAAATACGAAGTCTACGTTAGGTTCTCTATAGGTCTACTCCACCCAAAAGTAGCGTTTAGGTATTGGTACATCCTGATGGGTCCTTCAATACTTCAGGGATGGTGGGAACCCTTCATAATGGGCACAGCGGGTGTACAGAGCCAGGAACTCAGCACAGGGATGGTGGGAACCCCTCATAATGGGCACAGCGGGTGTACAGACCCGGGAACTCAGTGCAGGGATGGTGGGAACCCCTCATTAATGGGCACAACGGGTAGAGACCCAGGAACTCAGCACAGGGATGGTGGGAATCCCTCATAATGGGCACAGCGAGTGTACAGACCCAGGAAGCACAGGGATGGTGGGACCCCCTCATAATGGGCACAGCGGGTGTACAGACCCGGGAACTCAGCACAGGGATGGTGGGACCCCCTCATAATGGGCACAGCGGGTGTACAGACCCGGGAACTCAGCACAGGGATGGTGGGACCCCCTCATATGGGCACAGCGGGTGTACAGACCCGGGAACTCAGCACAGGGATGGTGGGACCCCCTCATAATGGGCACAGCGGGTGTACAGACCCGGGAACTCAGCACAGGGATGGTGGGAACCCCTCATAATGGGCACAGCGAGTGTACAGACCCGGAACTCAGCACAGGGATGGTGGGAATCCCTCATAATGGGCACAGCGGGTGTACAGGGAACTCAGCGCAGGGATGGTGGGAACCCCTCATAATGGGCACAGCGGGTGTAGAGACCCAGGAACTCTGCACAGGGATGGTGGGACCCCCCTCATAATGGGGACAGCGGGTGTACAGACCCGGGAACTCTGCACAGGGATGGTGGGAACCCCTCATAATGGGCTCAGCGGATGTACAGACTCGGGAACTCAGCACAGGGATGGTGGGACCCCCTCATAATGGGCACAGCGGGTGTACAGACCCGGGAACTCAGCACAGGGATGGTGGGACCCCCTCATAATGGGCACAGCGAGTGTACAGACCCGAGAACTCAGCACAGGGATGGTGGGAACCCCTCATAATGGGCACAGCGGGTGTAGAGACCCGGGAACTCAGTGTGGGGGTGCAAAGATCCCTACTGGACAGGAAAGGGTATAACATTCAGGTCTTTGAGTGAGAAAAGAACAGGAAGCTGCAGTTTCTCATATGTCCAGTAGGTGGGGCCCCTCATTCAGGTTATCCTAGACCAGTGATGGCGAACCTTTTTGAGCCCGAGTGCCCAAACTGCAACACAAAACCAACTTTTTTATTTCAAAGTGCCAACACTGGAATTAATCACTTGCCTACCGGGCACTTCTACCCCCTTCCTGCCCAGGACAATTTTCAGCTTTCAGTGCTGTTGCACTTAACAAAGACAATTGTGCGGTCATGCAACACTGTAACCATATGCAATTTTTATCATTTTTTCACACAAATAGAGCTTTTTTTGGTGGTATTTCATCACCACTGGGTGTTTTTATTTTTTGCACTATAAATGAAAAAAGAGCAAAAAATAAAAAAACATAAAAGGTTTCCTTTGCTTCTATTCTAAAATTTTGCAAACAGGTAATATTTCTTCTTTGATGTGCGTTGGTGAGGCTGCACTGATAGGCAGCACTGATGGGCATTGATGAGGCGGCACAGATAGGTAGCACTGATGGGGTGGCACTGGTGAGCATTGATGAGGAGGCACTGATGATGCACTGATATGCAGGAAATGATGGGCACTGATAAGCGGCACTGACAGCACCAACTGGAGGCACTGACAGACGGCACTGACCGGCGGCACTGCTGGGCATCATTGATGGGTGGCACTGATGGGCAGCACTAATGAGGTGTCACAGATAGGTGGCACTGATAGGCGACACTGATAATGGGTACTGATAGACAGCACTGATAGGTGGCACTGACTGACATCACTGCTGGGCACTGACTGGCACAACCGCTGGGCACTGACTGGCAGCACTGCTGGGCTGCACTGATGGGCACTGGTGGGTGGCACAGGTGGGCGGCACAGGTGGGCACTGGTGAGTGCATTGCTGGGCACAGGTGGGCGCACTGTTGGGCACAGGTGGGTGCATTGCTGGGCACAGGTGGGCGCACTGTTGGGCACAGGTGGGTGCATTGCTGGGCACAGGTGGGCGCACTGCTGGGCACAGGTGGGCGCATTGCTGGGCACAGGTGGGCGCATTGCTGGGCACAGGTGGGCGCACTGCTGGGCATAGGTGGGGGTGCATTGCTGGGCACAGGTGGGCGCACTGCTGGGCATAGGTGGGTGCATTGCTGGGCACAGGTGGGCGCATTGCTGGGCATAGGTGGGTGCATTGCTGGGCACAAGTGGGCGGAACTCTCTTTCTCTTCCTCTCTTCCTCCTGGCGTGCCCACTGAGATGGCTCTGCGTGCCATAGGTTCGCCATCACTGTCCTAGACTGAGGGGCTCTGAGAAGTCCTCATATCTCTGCTCAGTGTTCAGTAACATGGAGGATGGACGGGGAGATGGCAGGAGGAATGTGGAACTCAATCATGGAGGAGCACAGGAGAGGCTTTCCTGGTCATTTGTATCATTTTACTAAAAAGTAGAAAAGGAAACGTGATTGGTCAATATTGATAACCGATCGGTTTCTTTCTGCAGTTGTTACGTATAGAGCCTGATCTCTGCCTGACATCCTCCTGATCTCTGCCTGATCTCTGCCTGACCTCCTCCTGATCTCTGCCTGACCTCCTCCTGATCTCTGCCTGATCTCTGCCTGACCTCCTCCTGATCTCTGCCTGACCTCCTCCTGATCTCTGCCTGATCTCCACCTGACCTCTTCCTGACCTCCTGTGTGCCGCTCCTCCATGTACTGCAATGCAAATGCACTGGAATGGTCTCCTCCTACCCGCACCACCACCTGGACTACAGATCCTCCTCCCCCCACTGCTGGGCATTGGCCTGTGAGCGATGGACAGTATGGATGATGGACTGTATTAATAGTACGGTGCACAGCCTCATTGGGGGGGGTCTGGACTTTTAATAATAGTACTGGACTTTATAATAGGTGCTCAGCCTCATGGGGGGGGTCTGGACTTTATAATAGTACGGTGCTCAGCCTCATTGGGGGGGGTCTGGACTTTATAATAGTACGGTGCTCAGCCTCATGGGGGGGGTCTGGACTTTATAATAGTACGGTGCTCAGCCTCATGGGGGGGGTCTGGACTTTATAATAGTACTCATGGGGTGCTCAGCCTCATATGGGGGGGTCTGGACTTTATAATAGTACGGTGCTCAGCCTCATGGGGGGGGTCTGGACTTTATAATAGTACGGTGCTCAGCCTCATGGGGGGGGTCTGGACTTTATAATAGTACGGTGCTCAGCCTCATAGGGGGGTCTGGACTTTATAATAGTACGGTGCTCAGCCTCATGGGGGGGGTCTGGACTTTATAATAGTACGGTGCTCAGCCTCATGGGGGGGGTCTGGACTTTATAATAGTACGGTGTACAGCCTCATGGGGGGGGTCTGGACTTTATAATAGTACGGTGCTCAGCCTCATGGGGGGGGTCTGGACTTTATAATAGTACGGTGTACAGCCTCATGGGGGGGGTCTGGACTTTATAATAGTACGGTGTACAGCCTCATGGGGGGGGTCTGGACTTTATAATAGTACGGTGCACAGCCTCATGGGGGGGGGGGGTCTGGACTTTATAATGGTAAACAGCCTCATGGGGGGGGTCTGGACTGCTGCCCCAGCACTGCCACCATCCGGCCGTTTATATACAGCTTTCATTCAGACAAAGCAACTGGAAGGAACTTTCTGCTCAGACTTTGTCTTGAGATAACCCATAGTGCTCTGGGAATCCTGCAGCATTTATTAAATGTTTATTAAAAAAATAAAAAAAGATTGTATAGAAAGCAAATAAATAAAAAAATTTGTCCAGATGGGTCTGTAGATGGAGTCATGTGACTCAGAAAGCCGAGATAAGCAGCCGTGAGGTCAGAGATCTATCTGATCAGAGAGGGAGGACGGACTGATATCTTGGAGTAATCCTCCAATACAGACTGGATACAACATACAATATATCCCAACAAAGTGAAGGATAGGCTGCATTCTCAGTGATGTCACCGCTCTCTAGTGAATGGATAAGCTGCATTTCAGTGATGTTTAAAAAAAATGAAAAATAGCTTGTTCTCAGTGATGTCACCGCTCTCTAGTGAAATGGATAGCTGCATTCTCAGTGATGTCACCGCTCTCTAGTGAATGGATATGTGATTCTCAGTGATGTCACCGCTTCTAGTGATGATAGCTGCGTTCTCAGTGATGTCACCGCTCTCTAGTGAATGGATAGGCTGCGTTCTCAGTGATGTCACCGCTCTCTAGTGAATGGATAGGCTACTGCATTCTCAGTGATGTCACCGCTCTCTAGTGAATGGATAGGCTGCATTCTCAGTGATGTCACCGCTCTCTAGTGAATGGATAGGCTGCGTTCTCAGTGATGTCACCGCTCTCTAGTGAATGGATAGGCTGCGTTCTCAGTGATGTCACCGCTCTCTAGTGAATGGATAGGCTGCATTCTCAGTGATGTCACCGCTCTCTAGTGAATGGATAGGCTGCGTTCTCAGTGATGTCACCGCTCTCTAGTGAATGGATAGGCTGCATTCTCAGTGATGTCACCGCTCTCTAGTGAATGGATAGGCTGCATTCTCAGTGATGTCACCGCTCTCTAGTGAATGGATAGGCTGCGTTCTCAGTGATGTCACCGCTCTCTAGTGAATGGATAGGCTGCGTTCTCAGTGATGTCACCGCTCTCTAGTGAATGGATAGGCTGCGTTCTCAGTGATGTCACCGCTCTCTAGTGAATGGATAGGCTGCGTTCTCAGTGATGTCACCGCTCTCTAGTGAATGGATAGGCTGCGTTCTCAGTGATGTCACCGCTCTCTAGTGAATGGATAGGCTGCATTCTCAGTGATGTCACCGCTCTCTAGTGAATGGATAGGCTGCATTCTCAGTGATGTCACCGCTCTCTAGTGAATGGATAGGCTGCATTCTCAGTGATGTCACCGCTCTCTAGTGAATGGATAGGCTGCGTTCTCAGTGATGTCACCGCTCTCTAGTGAATGGATAGGCTGCGTTCTCAGTGATGTCACCGCTCTCTAGTGAATGGATAGGCTGCATTCTCAGTGATGTCACCGCTCTCTAGTGAATGGATAGGCTGCGTTCTCAGTGATGTCGCAATGGTTTACAGTCAGAAGGAAAGGTTACTCCGGCCCGCAGAATGAGTTGTGATCTTGTCCTCTTCCTGTCAGGAAGTCAGCTGCCGTGTGTTGTGTGTGAGATGACAGAACATCGATCTGCTAAGGACATGGGGGAACCCTCACACATCACTACGCCATGGAAATAGCTTTCCGTAACGGTAATGGACTGCAGAAGGGGCCTACAGGTTCAGGAATTGGGGCTTCGACACCTTGCTGCTCACTGCCCTGAAAAAAGGATTTTGAGTTACACCCCGGCGTTGGTTCCTGTTAGGGGTGGGAGTGGGAGGAGGAACAATCAGAAGATGCCACTTCTACGAAGTTCTGTGGTTGGCCATTCAGGAGAGAGATGACTCTTAGAGGAAAGGAAACCCTCGTCTTTCACATCTCACACTACAGCCACTTAGAACTCAACCTACTGATTCCATCATCGATTCCATCGTTCCACCCTCACACACCTTACAGTCTGGTTGTAAGGTTTCCTTCTCCACTCAGATTGTTGTAGGTCATCCCAAAGCTCTCTGAGGGGTAGTTGTTGGACCGTTGACTGATCTTTATCATCAGTCTCTCCTAACAAGTTCACTGAGGGGGTCACCAGCAAGAGGAAGGAGTTCCTGATTCCTCTATATAGATCATTATATCACTAGAGGTTTCACCGGCAGGAGGAAGGAGGTCCTGATTCCTCTATATAGATCATTATATCACTAGAGGGGTCACCGGCAGGAGGAAGGAGGTCCTGATTCCTCTATATAGATCTTTATATCACTAGAGGGGTCACCGGCAGGAGGAAGGAGGTCCTGATTCCTCTATATAGATCATTATATCACTAGAGGGGTCACCGGCAGGAGGAAGGAGGTCCTGATTCCTCTATATAGATCTTTATATCACTAGAGGGGTCACCGGCAGGAGGAAGGAGGTCCTGATTCCTCTATATAGATCTTTATATCACTAGAGGGGTCACCGACAGGAGGAAGGAGGTCCTGGTCCCTCTCTATAGATCTTTATATCACCAGAAGTTTCACCAGCAGGAGAAAAGAGGTCCTCATTTCTCTATATAGATCTTTATATCACTAGAGGGGTCACCGGCAGGAGGAAGGAGGTCCTGATTCCTCTATATAGATCTATATATCACTAGAGGGGTCACCGGCAGAAGGAAGGAGGTCCTGATTCCTCTATATAGATCTTTATATCACCAGAGGGGTCACCGGCAGGAGGAAGGAGGTCCTGATTCCTCTATATAGATCTTTATATCACTAGAGGGGTCACTGGCAGAAGGAAGGAGGTCCTGATTCCTCTATATAGATCACTAGAGGGGTCACCGGCGGGAGGAAGGAGGTCCTGATTCCTCTATATAGATGACTAGAGGGGTCACCGGCGGGAGGAAGGAGGTCCTGATTCCTCTATATAGATCTTTATATCACTAGAGGGGTCACCACAGGAGAAAGGAGGTCCTGATTCCTCTATATAGATCTTTATATCACTAGAGGGATCACCGGCAGGAGGAAGGAGGTCCTGATTCCTCTAGATAGGTCTTTATATCACTAGAGGGGTCACCGACAGGAGGAAGGAGGTCCTGATTCCTCTAGATAGATCTTTATATCACTAGAGGTGTCACCAGCAGGAGACAGGAGGTCCTGATTCCTCTATATAGATCATTAGAGGGGTCACCGGCAGGAGGAAGGAGGGCCTTATTCCTCTATATAGATCTAGTATTTATAGGGGTCATCAACTGGAGATCAAGAGCCATGGACTTTATTGGTGTTGGGGAAATAACTACAGCCTCAGAAAAGGTGGTCTCTAGTTAAATAATAATCTTCCTAGGGAAGCATAGTCGAGAAAGTCACAGAGTAGAGGAAACATATAGGAGCCCATTACTGACCTGTGGACTCCGGCGCTTGTGTTCTTGATCTTGGCTTCACTACCCAGTGATCCCATGACCTGGGACTAGCATGTGACCAGTGAAGTCTGACATGTCTGAATTTCCAATTATTGAGTTTTTCCTTTTTGTCAGGAAACAAAGGCCTTTATCCAAGATCTCGGTCTGCTCCCTCACCTTCTATCCTTCCTTGGTCCACTATCAGGTTCTGCTGTTTTACTCCCTTGGTCCAAGATCAGGTTCATATCCCTCTCCACCTTGATCCAAGATCTTGGTCTGCTCCCTCACCCTCCAACCTTCCTTGGTCCACTATCAGGTTCTGCTGTCTTA